TTTTCAACCGTGTTATCGGAGATCTCCGGATTGACGTCACAGGCATTTTCGGCCTCGGTAAGTTCGCGGCAAGTATCATCGGCTGTCCAAAGGGTCAACGAAAACCTAGCGAAATGGCAGACAGGGCCTAGCAGCGGCATGTTTGTTAGAAAGCCAGACTTATATCTGGAATCGATATAAAGAGAGAAGTATCGCTCATCAGTCTTGATATTCTGATCGAATATGGAAGTTTTTTATCGCACGAATCTTTGTGACAGAGAAGTCAAATTGTCAAAGTAGGCCAGCGAGACAGAGACAGAGACATGAGGATGTTGACCGACTTTCATGGAATGTTGCTTTTGAAGCAATTTGTATTGGCAGGCCAGTTTCCTGATTTTAAAAAGAAGATTCGCGCTTTTTCATCAGCTCTTCCTTTAGTGCAACAGCTAAAAACCATCGCGCAATTAATTTGGGAGGAAAGACCAAAACAAAACCAGTATACCGGGAATGAAAGCTGTATGAATTGATACAACATATTCATTAGGATAAAGAGCTTCATATCAACATGACTATGACTTATTAGAAATAAACCAGGACAATTGAGGGCATGGACAAGAAAGTATACAAACTTTCAAGACAAGACTAAAAACCTACCATTAATCATGAGTCAAACAACTTTTTCAAAAATTATAAATTTGTTTTTATACAAACAAAAAAGGGATTTGAGATTATATTAATAATTCATCTTTTTCAATATACTTGTGTAAATATAATTTTTGTATTTAACCCCTAAGCTATTACAGGGGCCTTGTCAGCTCCTTTAAGCTGTCAGAATTTCAACCTGCTATATAAATGAATAATAAATACATGTTTGATGTATTTAAATACTTGGCTACATTAAATTATATATTCAAATATCTATACAATCAGGCCAGTGAACTAGCTAGAAATTTGTAATTTCTATTGCACATGAGAAATGTTCTTATAAAAGTATCATGAAACAATAATCTATTGCAAAATTTCTAGAAAATACCTATATGTTGTCACTAGATTTAAATAATAGAAGTGGATTTGAAAACATTATATAGGTATGACCAAATTATATATAAAATTTTGATAATTTTAAAAATTTTCCTTTGTAAAAATTTTAATACAAAAACAGAATAATGTGTTGAGGTCTTTGTGGTAACTCTTGCAGGGAAGAGAGGGGCAGGTTATCACTCCCACAAAGCCAGTAGCCAGATAACAGGATGCATTTTTTTGCAAGATCCTTTCTGCTGATCCATAAAAGAGTTTGTTACCTTTTCTATGCCTAGAATAATAAGGTTGACAGGGATAAATACTAACATACCAGTGAAATTTACTTTTGAGTCATATTAAAACATAAAATGATCAAAGAAACTTGGAAACTCGGGGGCATTTAGAGTATAGATATTGAAAAGGATCAAAGAGAAATTTAGGGGTGAAAGGGCAACCACTGTTACTATAGCAAATAGCATCTAAGAATATTAACTTAAAGTAACACAAAGATGAATTTAAATGATATAGGCCATGCTTATATGAATCAATGCTAGAATAGCAAAGGTAAATTTAACAAATATAAACAATTCTGCCTTTAAAACATTAGAATGAGGATATTACACATCTTTTTTCCAAAACCAAGGGTGTAAATTCCTGTTTTTTCTTTGGGGTAGTAGATATTTTGCCCTGGATATTAATCTGGCAAAATTTTGAAATTGTGCATCAATTTTATGATGAAATAGGCAGAACTCCAAAATTGAAGGCAGAACATGGTAGAACATGAAGAAAAAGGGTTCAGGGAAACATCAGACAAACCCTGGGAAATTTTACACATCTATACCTCGGGCAAAGGTGTAGTGCACAGATCATTGGCAAGGATGTAGTGCTAGGAGGCTCAGGCCCCCTTGTTGGTACAAAAAAGTAGCAAACTTCTACTTTTGGTACTATTTTATGTGACATTTTGCTTGAGAGCCCCTGTTGTACTTTTCATATTACCACATTTCTGACCATTTGGGGGACAGTTTACAAGACTGGCTGTTAGAAAACTTGTATTTACAGTACGAAGTTTTTCTCAAAGCCTGGCAAATTGCGTTGCTTAGTGGGTGCGTGTCACACCATCCTCAAACCCCCTCCAAACCTCTACACCCTGCAGTTTCGCCTAACATTCAACATAGTAAAATGATAATAAGGATGAATTGTGACTTACGGGAAAGTTTCCATCTTGTGAATGGGGTTCTTCTAATGCGGTGAGACATCAATTATTATTCAGCTCCCTGGAAATCCCTGAGATGACACGACGATAAGAAATGTCTTCGGTCAGAAATCCATTCACATCTGAAAATTCGTGAAGCATTCCATATTAAAAAGCTTGCTGCGTTGCCAAGATGAGGGTATGCGTTCAGGTTGAAGCTTCCATCTTTTATTTGTCCAATTACTAGTCCATGTGGGCTGGAAGCCTCCGCTGAACATCAATCGCAATGAAGGAAAATAAATAAAACGACAACCGAGATTCCGACATGAATCGCCTCTTCCGAGCCTCTACCGAGTCGTGCGAATTTCAGTGCGAACGTATAACAATAGCGCCGAATGTTGAAACAATAGCCCTTTCACACGTCACAAAGTGCTTTTTCCGAAAAAAATTTTGTCGTATTTTTACGGTGATTCTCAACTTTGAGCGTCTATATCTGGAAAACGAGTTAAGCTTTTCGAAAAAAAATTTCACGATAGCTTCTTTTTCTCGACTAACTACCAATTTCTGCAAAAATCTCAGAAAAAATTTTTGGGCTGGAGTGGCCCTTTAATACTTACTTTTGAATAAATACTTCATTTTCTGCCGTAACACTTTCTGCGACAACTTCCCGCTTATTAGTTTCCTTGTCATAAAAAACTGTATATTATTGAAAGCTGGCAAATGACCACGTTCAATTAATGTCATAACTCCGCTGTTAATACACTGAAATTAAGTGTTTATTATGTTTAATTGTAGGCAGTTAAAGTTTAGATGGATGGTTGACTCGGAATCTAGTTCGCGAAATTCCAAGAGTCTTTACAACCAGGCTCACATTATACTGGAAGAAAGGTTTCTAGAAATTGAAATGCTGTTTTCAAGCTGATCTTAGCGTGCCAAATTCCCAATTGATAACGAGCAACTTCAATCGAAGGATGATAGCGATCTCCAATTATCATCATGAGTCTTCTACAATCACAAATAAATGTGTCGGGGTGATAAACTGTGGTTTTTGCACATGGCGTTGTGTAGGCGAGAAACAAGAATACTTCTTTTTGCACTGTTCTTAACATTGGCACCTTTCTCTCCGTTATAATGATAACAACAAGACGGATTCCCAACTTTTTCTATATCTTTTTGCACGATTCAAAATCAGATAAAAGATTATCTCTTGAAGTGCGAGTTGATATGCTTAAGGATAGAATCTCGAAACATCCAAGATGTTAATAAGGTTAGTAAATTGACGTCAAGAGAAGCATATTTCGAAGCATTTTCCTTATAATTATCAACAGCGTACTGTTTAATGACCTACAAGGACAAAATCTTTGACCTCGTTTACATTACAGAAAGAAGAACGGAACTCTGTGTTTCGTTCTTGTTTGGGCACGATACCATTTTTTTTCATCGCGTTTACACTGAAGCAAAGAGGAACTGGACCAAATTTGACCCCGTTTACACTTAAGTAAAAAGAACGGAACATTCAGGTGAGGCATGCGCGGTGGCGTTTCACAACGCCTGGCCCCAACCCTAGATTAAGCTCCGTTTTCAATTATAACCAAAACTCTAGTCATATTGGCAAGTTTTTTCACGAAATGTGACCCAATTTCAAGTGAAATATCTGCAAAAGAGAGCTAGCCAAATTTGAAAGAAAAGAGAAAGTTACAGAAATGAATATCACAAAAATATTATCATTACTCTTCTCAACGGATAGTCATCCTTTCCCAGATATATTAATAAACTGAGCCAGATTGAGAAAGAGCTTAATCAATTTAAATAATAGTATTGTATTGTATAGTCTGCTACCTAGCTTCCGCAGGTAGGTTTTAGCTATGCTTATCGAGAAGTGTCCTGGTCTTTCCTCTCACGATGTGACCACACCTCGTGATTCATACGCCTGGAATTGACGACTCTCCTTATTCTGAGTTAAAGTTTCGTCATGTCAGTGACTCGAATCACTGGCCCTTGGACTCTACCCACTGAGCCATCCTTGCATATGATAGTGCTATCATTAGCAAGAATTTGTAAGATTATGCATCAAAGAGAATACAAATTTTACGGTAGCAATACAATTTCTGAAATTTCGTTATTATTGAAATCACTCGTACTACTTCCTGACACCAGAATCATATGATAGGAAAGAAAAAAAATCATTTAAAGGAAAAGTTATTACGTGACTTGTGTACCAGTCAAACAAATCCAACTTATCACCTAACATGCAGAAAAATGATAGAAGAGATTTTGGACATGTTTTCGCTTGAAATTTAAAAAATTGAATCTTGTCTAACATTTGCAAACTGATGTTGGATGAACTTTGATTGAGAGCCAAAACAAATTTAGCTTTTAGATGTTTGAGGCGTTTGGCATTTGTATCCAACATTTAACTCAACACGAAAATGGTTTAGTTACATGACCTACCCCCTAAGTACACCGATGAAAATTCATATTCTGGTTATAGTTTCTGCTGCATTTGACCAAAGCTTTAGAGTACTTGAAATCAGGATTAAATTTCGCACGATTTGATTAAGGTAAAAGCGGTGATTATCCCCGATGTTAAAATTGAAAAGAAACGACATGAAGATAAGAAATTGTGTTACCTTCTATGGATTACAAAGAGTTAGCTAGCTCCATATTTAATTAGAAAGAGAAGCTCTAGATAGAAGGTTGAGCCTAGGTAGTAGGCTAAAGGATCAATAGGAGATGGATAAGGAAATTTATGAAAATGCTGCAAACTTGAAGGTGTGTTGAAATCTAACTCTTCTAGAAGACTGGGAAATCGGTAGATAAGAAGTTGCACCAATTCCATAAGCATTCAAGCCATTTTTAGTAAAACTAACATACACTTCAATGTCAGCAAGCTTTGCAAGCTCACATATATGTCACCTACTCCGTGATTAAGAAGCACAGCAACGTTTTGCCCTTTCTTCGCATTTCTTGATAAGTATGTCAGCAAAATTAATATTCTTAATGCCTTTCAAACAATGGAAGCCTAATCCTACTATGTCAAATAGCATTTTCAGCATAAATCAGCATAAAAAAGGATAAATCAAGAAGCATGGTTGTTTAAATGAGAATCACATTGCCACTATGTTGATCTACGCTTTGAGCACAGCAAGCCGCCTTTTAGTGCTATCGTTTCAAAAGGTAAGGTTATTATGAAGTTAGATAGATCGATATTTTTGAGGTTTTGATAAAGTGTTGAAATCATGTCATTTTCTAAATCCATTTCGCCGTGCAATAGCACAGAAAATGTCTTGGCACATAATGAAGACAATTGGCATTATTTTCAGGCGAGGTCGAAGCAGTGCGAGCTCTAAAATATTAGCAATTGCTTAAAAAATAGAAACCAATTGGCAAGCTGAAAAGGATTGCTACAGTTTATACGGATAAATTTAGCAGAGGTATCTCGATCAAATAGGGACAAAATTAGAAAAAAACCTGACTCAAGACAGAAAGACAGGGAAGGAAAAGAAGGGGCAAGTGAAACTCTTACTTTCTGCTTTGATACCAGAGTCCATGTAGCGGAGCCACACAGTGGGAAATTTTATAATGCTACTCTAAAGAATAGTGTAGGAGATAAGCAGAATGGATGCGCACATTGTGATAAAAGCATGAAAATCTGCAAAACTACACAGTTTGATCTGTCAAATAAGTGCTCCGCTTAAATAAACGCACCACTTTGAAGCCCAAAAAGTAAATAAGCGGTAGGATGGTAAAACGAAAAGGAGCAAGCATGCCTCCCTGTAACACACCAGGAACGTTATATAAATTAGTGGCTCTACGGGTGACTGAACAATATATCGGTAGCTTTCATTAAGGTTCATGATAGCAGACACCATTTTAGCTGGGAATTCATAAGCCAGCATTATTATTTTGATCTTCCCCCTTCGTGCTGATTCAAATGCTTTTGAAAAATCGACTAAAAGGAGTCCACATTGGAGGTTATTTGCTTTCGCATTTTCTAACATACGCCCAACTGTTTGTACTTGTCAAGGGGTGGATCTGTTTTGCTTTGGCAATCTTGTTTTCTACGTAACAGTCTTTCAATTTTGGTTGTAATCGGTTGAACAGGAGCGAATTGTAGATTTTGGCAAGAAAGTGTTGAACAGAAGCAGAAAGTGTTATTAACCTATGTTTTTTTGCTTGGCCTAGTTACAGTCAATCCTATCCTAGAGAAGAGCAAGATGCAGTCTTTACTACAGCGCTCAATATCTTTACTTCACTCTAGATTTTTAGCTTACAACTTTGCCTTGTTTATACTTCTACGTTGAGTAGATGCCACGTCGTTTTTACGTCATTTATTTATGGCTTGCCAAGCTGTGACTGCTTGTTTCTTTACTCCTGCTTTGAAAATCGTGATGATTTATGACGGTAGATTTGCCACTTCTTCTTTCGCGTTTATAGGTCTCCTGTGATTCGTCTCCTGTCCTTTGGTGTATGTACCAGTGATTGCAAATAACGGGTTGGTATTTTTCATTAAAGCAGCCTGTTTGAGTTTGAAGGACGTTTTAATTACATTTTCAGTGTCCCACGGTACCCTGGGCTTGATCTTTGCTCTGGTTGACAAAAATTCTGCAGCAGCCTGTTTACAAGCTGTTTCAAAATGGCAATGCCTGTCGTATGCATTATGTGCTGAATTGTTCTCTTGTAAAGATGTCGATGATCGGAACTAACGTTTTTCATGAAAGTAGTTTTAACCTCACAACAGTCGAGTATCCCATTCTTCCATTTTTCTTGATATGCAAATAATCAAGCTAGACTTTTCTACTATTTAGATGGGTTTAGACCAAGCGTTGTCTTAGATTCTTGTGGAGTTTAGTAGATAGATAGATTTTGGTGTAAAAGAGGAGACAATTATAGATGTACTAGGATTTCTATTTAACGATTAAATAATAACATTTGATCTTAAGCGATCTCTGACCTTTAAAGCGCAACAATATATCGATACAACCAATGATTGCATTAATTCCGTTTATCCATATATACGATAAGTCAAAACGGTAAACAAGGTACTTTGTTTTCAACTGTATAATTTTCTGATAGGCATAGAAAAAGTTCATAACATCAACAAAAGGTAGAATTAATTACAAAAAATACATTTGATACTTGTATAGGAAGTATATGATTGTTTTTAATAGGAAAAAGGACCAGTTAAAGTTTTATCACTGCCTAGTCCATCGTTGTGTTTCAAGTTATGAACCAAAGGAGTTATGGAAAACAAATGAGATAAGGAACAAAAGGAATCCGGAATTAGTGAAAGTAGATCACTATAGTGAATTGAAAGAAGGATTTTGTGCCAAGAACTGGATAAATTAGAAACTTGTGAACGCTTAGTAAAGTGAATTGCAGGGTTCCATACACCATTGATCGTTGAAAATAGAGCAAAACCTCAAGGTGAATAGGTTTTAAAGGCCAATAAAAATTAGAAGAAAGAAACAAAGCAGGATATTGCAGATACTCGTGCATCGAAGATGACTACCTTTGAATTTAAAGCTCTGAAAACAACAGGCAGGTGTACGATATAAACTAAAAGTAATTCTATCTCATCAAAGGGCTTACATTTACTCTCCTTGCGGCGAGAAAATGTCCAGAAACTCGAATAATGTATTACTTAAACAACGAAATCTGGACAGATCAATTTAAGATAATTAAAGACAACAGCAGCGATTGGACACCTGCAGAGAATGTTGCAAAATATTTGGAGATTTGTCGGCTCAAAGGTTTTGAATTGAGGAAAACAGACAGTTTGCAACGTGAAAGTGGCAAGGACGAAAGATAACGGGACATGAACTGAATTTGGTATCTCTGTTTGCCCGGTTGGCGACTTTTCTAATCAAACAGCAACCTACAAATAATCTCATTTGCAAATATTGAAAGAAAAAAGACGAAGCATTTCTTTTACGATTCTGATATCTCTCATTCAACCAGTATTTCAAGCCCTTACGGTTGATCTGATAATTCGATTGGTTTCCTTGCGTTGGCATTCAAGCTGGCATTTGCGTAAGCATGGACAAATAATGTCATAAATGGATTTTCTCGCTAATTATTTATTAATTTCCATTCAATAGCCAATAATTAGAAAGATATTAGTAAACAAAAAGTAAATGCAACAGAAGCAAAGCGAACGAAAGTCGCAAGGTAGGCACTTGCAGTAGGTCTCCCAAAGGCTCAAACAAGCAATGTGATGTAGGTAGGTCTAAATGCTTTTTAAGAATAGAGCAACAGTCATGTACCTGTATGTTGGCCAGGAAGAGGTGTTGGCCAGGAAGAGGTGTTGGCCAGGAAGAGGTGCTGGCCGGGAAGAGATGCTTTTCATCAAAGATATTATGCTGATTGTAAAGAATGCTAATTTGTTTAATATCTCTCACAATGCAGCTTAAGGGAATAAGCCAATCAAAGCTAGCTAATGACTGTCCTACGGTTCTTCGTAGGCTAAAAAAGGAATCAGAGAAATTAAGGAGAAAAGGGTTCTTACAGATCATATAGCATGGTTGCAATTGTTCCTACGTGATTCGGGAATGTGATAATTTCATTTGATTTGCTCTTAGTCGTCACCTCTCTTTGTCTTCAAAACTACTACAGTCCTTGGCCTTCACAACAAAACGTATGTCAAAGCCGGGAAGCACAATCAAAGAAATCTTGTATGTTGTGAGCAGTTTTCCAGGGCCTGCAGTTGAAGGATTGCTATCCATTGACTTTATAAATAAGAGCTATTAAACGAATCTATGCACGGCTTGAATTGCTATTTGATAATATTAGTCTCCGCCACTAATGCTCGCAGTTTTTCTCAAATAATCTTAAGATTCTAGTTACCTGTGCATCCATTTGCCCATTTCAATTAAACCTCGCCATTTACAAAAGCAATTCTGCAACAGTTTGATATAGATGCTTTTGTCATTCCTTCATTTTATTTTGGCATGCAAAAATCTCTTGGTGAAAGGCGGCATAATCCTACCTAACCTTACCAATATAAATACAATGCTATTCCAATTTTTGTCTTTACAGTCGTATGAATTGCACCTTTTTCTTAAAGAAACGCTGAAGAAACATGCTCTATGTTTGTGAGTTCAGTCTTATCATGATTGTCTATTGCTTGTGTGTGTTGAGTTCAGCAAATTATGGTTGCTTTATGATTCGTCATAGAGGAGAACCAAAGGGATTATCAGTGGGTTACTTGGTGACGATGGATAATAAGTAATTGGTAATGATCCAAACAACCACCTCATGACAAACTAGCCTAATGCAAACAAACTTAACTCCGAAGCAGCAAACTAGCCTAAGGCACGTTTCTTTGGTAAAAAGCCAAATCTAAATCATCTGTTATTAAAGAAAGAGATAAAAAAACATGTAATGGAATTTCAGACTCAAAATCTGCTTCTAAAAGTGTAGTTTTTTGGCTTCATAGTTGCATTAAGAATCTTGTAATTGCATTAAGTTGTTAGAGCATTTCTTTGTTGACGACAAACCGATAAAGAGCCAGATTTTTAGACAGGTTCAAAGACTAGCGGTGAAGTCCTTTTTTCTTAGCTGATTCCAGCCGATTCTAATTTTAGGTTTATGCTTTCATTAACGTAACACTTTTGGGATTTCAGATCTTAGAGTAATCCCCTGCCTTCCAAAGTATAAAATAATTATTATCGCCGAGCTCTGCCAGAAAAAGTTGTTACTAGACGGGTTCGATCAGTTTTTCACGTTCTTCGACTCTTGTCTCTATTCATGTTACAACAAAAAAGTTGACAGGTGAAAAAGTATTGCTCAATTGCCTTAGCTAGTGATGTTTTTTAGCAATTTTTTAACTAAAATATCAAACGATTCACTGTTGTTTAGGACAAATTCCCTGTTAAGTTTAGTAAACTTTGCTGCATGTGTTAAATTAGTGATTAGATGAATCCATAATCTAACATACTATCTTTTAACAAGCTATTTCAAAATTAAACAAGATGAAAAATCAACTATGAGCGTTGCAATCTTCTTGCAAATTCAAAAACCGTTTTTGTACGATTGGTGCGATCTGATGTGTAATTCTGGCTTTATATAAAATCTCATTTAGACACGAGAAGCCGAAAACGTTACTGACTTTAAAAACTCTGCGAAGAAACCATTTTATTTTCATAAAACTAACTTCTACACATAGATTTTAACTTTGACTTTGAAAAGTCGTTGGACGAACAAAATTGAATATCATTGCGTTTACTTTATTAACCTCACTTAATTTGCAGACCATTTTTTCCTTTATATTTACTTTTCTTTCTTACTTCTTTTAGACTTGATGCATAGCAATAGCAGTTAATTTTTGTCTTAAGTTCTTATTCTTACTCTATTTAAATATCATTAAGTTCTTATATTTCTACAAGTGCCTATAGGTATAAATGCAACGAAGCCTGTCATTGGCCAATCATCACATTATCATGTAGTGCCCTTGACGGCAAAATAAGTCAATCCTATTCAAGTTATTAAGTTATTGAGAGAAATGTTTCTTTTAAACAGGTGAAACAAGCCACGGTAAAACTGAAGAATTCACACAATGCTGAATGGCACGGAAGTGCAATAGTCGGTTGATGACCAAAGCTAGAGTTGATTTTTGCAAGGAGTTGATCTACGAAAAGGCACAACAGAGGGTTTGGTGAATTGAGCTTGACGATTGTATTTAATCACTTCAAGCAGAAACGCGACAGAAAATCAAAATCCAACTGCGTTGATGAAGATACAACACTTCTATTTGTCTTTTGAATATTAGGCCTTCAAGGGAAATTAAGGCATAGTATCATGTGAATGAATAAACCCTCGTAATAAGAATTCTATCTGCACATAGAGACAGTTCTTTAAAGTTTGAGAATGATGTCAAATCAGATCAATGTAACCCTTGCAAATACGTTTAAGAACGGAACAGGGACTGTCAATGTGATGCCTTTAGAGACACAGAACATCATTCCCTTCTATGTGGTGTTTCTGATCCTTGCCTTGATGATCATCCTATCCAACTCAACCATATTAACAGTATATTTCAAAACACGACCATTGCATACGAGCAATAATCATTTACTTGTGAGCCTGGCATTTACAGATCTCTTTGCAGGGTTGTTCAATATTCCCCTAATTTCTTCATCGGCATTAATTGCAGCTGAAAATATCCGCGCGATCGCACTCAACTTTACGGTAAATGTCGTATCGGACTTTGTCGTCACAGTAAACGAGTTGAACCTGTTCCTGATATTTCTCGATCGATACCTGGTCATTTGCCACCCGCTAGGCAGTCGAAAGCTAATAACGAGGAAGCGTAGATTGCGAGGAATTGTCGCAATATGGATCACATCGGCAGTTATTGCTTTCCTTCCCCTGTTCTGGTGCTTCAAAGTGGTGTCAGGGCAGGAATACAGCCTTAGATACCAAAAGATAATGGTTGAGCTCATAACCTACCACTCCATTGCCGTTTCTGTCTGCTTCTTCATCCTGCCAAGCCTTATTATGCTCTTCTTTCTTATCTCAATGATTGGTTCTTTGAGAAAGCAGAAGCAGAAGAGAAAGGAGAGGCTCAAAATCAGCAAGGACGACAGCAAATTTCGCGCCTACCACAAAGCCTTCTGTATGCTGTCTGCAATGTACGTGCTAATGCTTGTGGCTTGGTCTCCATTGATGGTTGTGAGGTTATGCATGGATATCAACGTGAAGCTGCAGATTTCACCTAGGGCTCTAGACTGTCTCATGCTTATTCGTTTTGTCACCGCCCTAGTCAACCCGTTTATCTACACATTCATCAAAAAAGAGTTTCGCAAAGCTTTCTTTATGCAATTTCGATGCTTTTAAAAACTATTAAAGCCTATATTATGTTCTATCCCGATTACCGACTGTTTTGAGATTTTATGGTTGAAGAAGACAATGTGCTTATCGCGGCGATGGGGTCAGATTGGCCCTATAAAGTATATTTAGCCGTACTTTAAGCAGTCTAGTTATCCTGACGTACTTTGATCAATTTCTCTAGCGGTAGTAGCTACCCTACACAATTTTTGTTTATTGTATCGCATATTATACATCAATAGTTGAATTTAGATCTGAGGAGCTCTCTTTAAAATATTTCAATATTTGAACGACTATTAAGCATAAAACTGCAAATGAGACATGGTGATTGTACCAAGCATAAACAAATATATTTCCTTAACTTTCTGCTAAAGTTTTAAGGTTCGCCAACAATGGAGAAACAATAGTTTAAGGATATCCATAATAGTTTAAGAGCGTTTATGGAATGATCCATTCTATGCTATTCTGCCAAACACCCCTAATTTTCATCTTCATTAGTCACTTCCCGTTGAAACCTGGATGACTTGAAAATAAAACTATGGGTAGCTTAAAGATAAAGACGTTTAAAATTTTCTTTCTAGATAGAAGTTTGAATAGTCATTTAGAGACTTTTTGCTTCATTTAAGGGAACCACGGTGTATACGACTATGATATAACGTTTAACTTGGTGCCATGGGTTTTTGGAACAAACTGTTCGTACGTTATCCGTGTCCAATACTATTGTCATGTTTATCATATAAATATAATGGGGAAGATTGTTAATAACACTACTGATGTACAAAGTTTGAATAATAAAGATTCAAGTTGCTTCAAGGCTGGGTCTTTTTTATCTTCTTTCATTGCGCCTAGTAATATTGTATGGAGGCTTGAAAAGGTATGTGAAATTAGTAGCTAACTTGGTGTGTAAGAAAGAAATTAACAGAAAAGATATCGATTGCTAAAGTTTTGATTGAAAAAGAAAAAGGCGAAGAGTTACATTATGACGATCAAATAGAGATCAAAATGGTTATGCAAAGACGGTAGACAAACCTTTGAAGCCATGAATTTTTCTAACTATTTAGATAAATAGCTATAAGTTACATTACCTATTTGGCTGCAAGGTTCCATTTTTAATAAATTGTAGATTTGTTTAGCACTTTAAAAACACAAAATATCAAACTTAAATTTTGCTGAAAATTTAGCAACTTCCAACAAAAAGCACAAAGCAAAGGGAAACTGAAGTGAAAAACAAAAACCAGCTAACAAGTAGTTTTCATCGTGCTGATTTCAAATATCGACACGAAATTTCTGCTTTTCTTTTCGTTTTTCCGCATTTACCACGCGAAGTGTGGAATTTCTCCATTTCCGTGGCGGAGAGGTCTGGAGACAAGTTTCAGGCACTGACGTAATGTCGTGGACACGTGCCCCGATCCCAACGAAAACAACATTGTAGTCGAGTGAATCGGAGGGAGGGAATTCGGTTAGTACATCCTAGAGGATGAGGATGAATTATCTCCCGCGACATTCCGTGAAATGTAGAAATGAGGAAGTGAATATAAGGTACGTTGATCCTTGTTTCTTTTCTTGCAATGAAGGCAAGAAATACTCAAACTCAGTTTCCTTATTTCCTTATAAAAAATAAGCCGGCTAGGTACCGTACATATCATAATCTATTCATTTCTAAAATCTAAAATAATAAGGATTATTACATGTTACTATTTAATGAAAATTTGCTTTGACTTAAAAACGTTTATACATAATTTGATGTGTAGCACGGAACAGGTCGACATAATCCACTTTTGGTTTAAAAACTGGTTTATGTTGTGTACACGAACAGGTATTATTAAATCTTACTGCAATTCAGATTATTGGACTCAAATATTTAATATATAAAGTGTCAAATATTTAATAGAATTGCCTAGAATATGCCTAAAATAGATTAATACCTAAAATTATATCCACTTTTCTAGGTATTTACAAAGAGTGGCCGATCAATGGATGGTTTGCTGGTTTGTGGGTATTTGTGCTGGAATGACTGGACAACTTTCAGCATGCATTTATCACAAATTTAAAGAAAAGAACTTTAGTCAAAAAAGACAAGGGTTTCAAAATTCTGCAGAGAGACAATGAAAATGCAAAAATCAGCTACCTACTACATATACAGTGGAATACAGGGGTTGTATACAGGAGTTATTCAAAGGGATCAGACTTTTAGTTCATAACAGCAAGAAGAGAAATTTTATAAGTTAGAACTAGTGGGTCCATTTATAAGTTTGTTAAAACTAGTGAAGCAATGGCCAAATCTTGTCAGCCCTAGGCTAAATCACTAGATTAGTCACATCAAAGGGGGGGGGGGAATGGAGCAAGGCTTAAGCCTTAAGGGTACAATGTTCTTTTAATGTATCCTGTCACTGACCGTTGTTTAGATACACTGTTTTCAAATTTTGAGAATGAAGTTTTTTGGTGCCCAATTGTTATATTTATTCTGAAATTTGCTTCAACTCAACATTTTTCAACAATTTGCTTCAACTCAACGTCTTTGAAAAGATAAGGTCTTTTAATTAACTTGGAAACATACATTATTTAATGGCTGCGCTTTATATCCTCCCCTTTTATGTACATCCTGGTATAAATTGTTTTTAATGCCTGGAGTTATATCAGAAAATGCTTTGATATCATAGACAAGGTATGAGAAACCATATTTAAAGGGGTATTTCTGAGAAGGAGGGGATTACTTCTGTCTTTTCAGCAAATCAAATTGTGTAGGTTTGCCAAGTTTCTTGGCCTAATAGGAAATTATATGAAAGTTACCATTGATATCATGTTCCATAGAATGGGCACAGTACTCCAGTCTTAAAATACAAAGAGGTATTTCGGAGGTGGAGAACCACTTTTACCATTTTCAGCAAGTCAAATTGTGTAGGTTTGCCAAGTTTCATGGCTGTATAGTTAACATACTAACATATTCTGAGTACTGGGTACAAGTACCCCAGTCTCAAAATAATACAAGGGGTATTTCCCAAAAGGGATCCCATTTTTATCATTTTAAGCAAGTAAAATTGTGGCCATTTTTTTGGCTGTATAGTTAACAGTTGGTCTAAAGTTTAAAACGTTGAGAAATCGATACACGAGGGATGGAAAGGTTGAGGATACACGAGGGAGGAGGAGGTAACATCAAAGGAGGAAAGGCTTTTTGGTCCTTTCTTCAAAAACAGTAAAGATTACAGTTCAAAATTTCGTTTAATTTACTTTTGCAAAATAAGTTACGTCATTATGGCAAGAGTACGAGATTAACGCTAGAAAAGTTAAATTTTTTATGATAAATATTAAAATCATAGAGACTCGTAAATCAACTTTACAAAGTTCATTTGAACGTTACATGCAAAGATCTAGCTTTATCATTAATTTTTAATTAAGAACTTTTAATTATGTTTAACGAGGTTTGATTAAAATACATGATAATTGAAGCTTAATGCAGAGACAGGCCGGTTGAATAAAATTTAAAACTAATAATTAATGATAAGTTAAAGTCTTTACATTTAAATCGAATAGGAAAATCGCTTGACTACAACATTGTATGGGAATTATAAAATCCAGTTAGACGCTTAGCAAGCACAGGTCTTGCAACCAGGACTATGACAAATTCGATTTTTGCAGATTTTACCACTTCGAGAAAGGTTGAGCTCTCCAAGGAACCACAAAAAGGCAGAATATTTTAAAAAGATTGTTTTAGTACTGTTGTTAGGGTACCATTAACAAAGATATTGTTTCTTGTCTAAAGTGGCACACAGTATGTACAGCAGCACAGGACATAAATCAACTTTTTCTACACAATCTGTAGTTTATAATTGCAGAAACTCTTTGCAGGGGCGTACTAATTTGAGAGACACCTCCGGGCGCTACACATTATCATCCATTAATGTTTCCCGGTCAACTACAACCGGCCTGCATTTACCACAAAGGCCGAGCAAAGCTTTTTTAAAGTCGTCTTTAAACAGTGTATAGATGAACGGATTGAGAAAACTAGTAAGGAATCTCAAGATGACGATTGTTTCCAAAGTAGTCTGTGACAGTCGGATATTTGCCCCTGTGTCCATTATCATTCTGACTGTAATTAAGGGTGACCAGGCTAACAATAGCAAGATATACATAACTAGCAGCAGGCAAAACGCTCTTCTGCGGTCGGCTGTCTTCTTTCGTGGCTCACTCTCAGCGCTTACGTAAAAGATCATTCTCATTACAGCTACGGTGTAACATAGAATAAACACACTGGGCAAAATGAAACAGCAAATTGAAACAAACAACGAATGATTGACACTCAGCCTTTCCATTCTGATTCTGTACGCAAGAGAGTAAGCCTCCTTTGCGAGGATCTTAAAACTCCATGTTAGCGGGACCGTAGCTAATAGAAAGGCCGAGACCCAAATAAGTATCACACAATTTCGAATCTTCTGATATGTGACAAGGTTTCGACTTAATATAGGACGGCAAATTGACAGGTACCTCTCAGTAAAAATAAGAAAAAGGATGAGCACGTTGGTGATGATGACGAAATCTGACGCTGCGTTGGAGAAGAAGTGAATTGCAAGGCTGCCGGTTTTCATCAGAGCCAGGATGGAGGAGGCAACAATCAAGGGTATATTGAGGATGCCTGCTAAGAAATCGGACATCGCGAGACAGATGAGAAGGAAGTTGGTCCAATGTCTCAGCTCTTTGCACCTTCGATAAATAAGAATGACCGTGGCATTGTTAATAACAATCAGCAAGGCCAGGACCAATAATATGGTATGGAAGATCAGGGCCCGTTGTGGATACGATTTCTCCGTTGTTGTGCGGTTGGGTAGGCTTCCTGTGGAGAATGTACTGTTTGGTACCATTTTTCTAGAAAAATTGCACAACTTGTCATAAACTAAAGAATAGATTATCACCTTTAGCTTTGAATGCATTAGGTTTTTAAAATTCTTGCAACTAACTTTTGTAATAATGAGCTTCATAGGTGTTTCAGATGGTGCATTTGCTATTTAGAATAAAAACACAGACATATATATCTGTTTTGCGTGTTTTAATGTGGGAGAAAAAACATTTCTTTACTTTAGTAAAAGTTTGACCTTAGAAAATACGTACGACCGCATCAGTTTAGAAATTAACAGAATATTATAGAAATTATCGATTTATTAAATGAAAAAAAGAGCGACAATGAGCTTTCATCATTCATTCAAGACGGTGTGTTAAGATCTTATAAAGAGCAATGATAAATAAGCCAATACGCTATCATGAAGCATCGACATATTACACTTGGAAACAGTCTCTACTCTCAAAAGCTCAAAATTTGGCGACAGCAAGCTCTGATGTCGTTAAAGATTAATGACGTTGTTGGTGTTATTACTTTCCAAAAAGGCCTCTAAATCTTTTCAAGATCTGAAGCTATTAATTTTGATCCGTTGGCAAATATTAAAAAGCCACCTTATCAACACAGTTAACTGCAAAAAATTAAATTAAAAAAGGAAGGTTTTAGGAAAAATTTAAGGTCATTCTAGATTATAATTTTAGACTATCAATTCAAGCGAAAGTGCAAAAAACGTTGTTCTATATTGCTTGTGTATATTACGAGCATGACTCTAAGGCGGCGACATTAAATCTAGAATTTTTCATAAAATTTTGTTTCTATCGTTCATCTACTGAATTAGCTATTAATAGAAATATTAATGAACGGTCATTTTAACATACAAAACTTTTAGGTCTGATATGGAAGTCTTTATGCGGTCCCAAAGTGGCCAAACTAATACATAATAACTATATATTAACTGCAAATAATTCTTTATGGTTATGAAAAATCATCTTTGAAATCAAATACACAAATTCTTGAGGCAACATTAAAATATTTTCAGACCTCTGCAAAGTTTCATTAAGTAGTTTTATAAATCTTCTCTCCTATGTAATTTGTCTTTCATTATTCTTGTTTTGTTTTTTGTCAATGTAGTTTGTCCTTGTTTTTGTTTTAACTTCCAAATTGTGTTTTTTTGTTATTAGTAATCCTTAACATGTAATTTGCAACATTTAATGTAACTCTAATTTCAAGTAAACATGTTTAATGCAATGGTCACAGGGTTGCTATGTATTTCCATGCTCCCTATGGCATCGTATTGTAGTTTGTCTGTTTTGTAAAACTTTATAAGAATATAAATATATATATATAAATATATAAATATATATAAAAAAGCCAAGAAAAACCTGTAAATGTATAGCAATGTAGCAAATATGAAACACCGCAATACGCCGAGAGTAAACAACAATAAAAACGCGAAAATCATTATATGTTTTGTATCTAAAACGTTGCGACGATTTGGCTAGAAAGACGTGAATTAAATACCTTTTGCAGATGTCTGAATTTCACTGAACTTCGACGCCACTCACTAAACAGACACACACATTAATCGATTTTCCAACCAACGTTTGTGATCGAGCCGAAGCGTGCAATATGTAAAAGTAGACTTTTTACTGATTAAAACTGTTCGGTTTCGTAACTGAGAGATAAGGCACCAAACGTTACGTTATAAGGTTGCTTAACCTGAGATTAACATGGTGTTAATCAATACCGGACTAGACATATGTTCATTTTAAAAGATCCAGAATATTGGATTTGAATGGTTTGTTTTAAGAAGCGTGTAAAACAAGAGTTCTAGACAAAACATCTCAATGCTGGAGCGTCCTAGATAAAGGGCATATCTAACCAAGTAATAAACCAAGCCAATTCTTATTAAAAATTAAATCTAAGAAGCAATAGAAAGGTAATGTACATTTGGAGTTTTTTATGGCAGTACAACGTTCACAACCTTAAAGGAGGCATTCGAACCAACTATATGCTAAATTGTATGTAGACAACTTCATATTTTTTCATCTCGAGAGCAAAGATGAGAAAATTTTAACACTTCGTTAGAGGTCCTGGGCAGAGTCAGGGACGTTCTTTCTGTACACTGTACCTGACTCCTGACTGAATTATTCGCCTTTTTTGCTCAATGTTAAAGATTCTGTTTCTGTTAATACTTGGCCAGGTTAAACACTTCGAGCAGCAATCATTATCGTTCTAAGATTCACATAAGAACAGTACCTTAAAAATACATTTCTCAGACTGATATTTTGGTAAGCTTTCAAAGATACAATCATCTGGTTTGAATTCCTTGCTACCTTTGTGACACAGATAGTAAGACGATACCACATTCCTCCGACCTCGCCTATTTCTACAAAAACGTTTGCAAAAAGGATCT